GAATTTTAAATGTAATGTATTTCATCACACAGTAACCGTAAGCTGCTGATTATTTTGAATAGAACAATATAAAAAATGACATTATAGTGACACTTGAAAAGTTGATCTCGACGGTGAAAAATGAAAGGTGTTGGCGTGCAGTTTTTTTTAGCACGTTGTCAAGTTCCGTGGGTCAAAGACCCACTGCGTCAGTGCAGACAGGCAGATAACCAGTGCTTGGTCATGCCTTGTACACATCAAACTAATTTTGTTGCAGTAACGATTTTAATCGTATAGTGATCTTAGGCTCAACACATACAGGGTGTTGAAGAATCGACAGTGCTTTCAATGTATGAGTCTGCCAAGTTGTTCCATGTGGCTGTCTTCAGTAATAAGCGCAGGACAGGTCCAGACAAATCAACGTTATTTGTCAAAATCTGAGTGCAGGTTAATTCACTCATTACATAATTCATTTAACGATTTATCTATGAACAGCGCCGATTAAATAGCATCGAATATCATGATTATCATGAATAATGAAACTGCAGGGTATGGAAGTAAGCAGCGTGGCCTACTCTTAAGGATTAATCAAGCATTTACATAGCACAAATAACAAACCCTTTAACCTATCTTCCGACCCCAATCTCCTGTGAACTATGCAGTGCATTGAGACATCAATTTCTATGGCTCTACAGCCCTTTCATGGACCTTGACCGGTTTTCAAGTTTCTTAATCCTGTACACAGTCGGTAAGACTCCTTGAAAGGGGGATCAGCCCGTCACAGGGCCGCAACGTGCATATAGGACAGCACAAACACAGAATAAACGCACATAGACATGAATGTCTTAAGTGGGATTCGAACCCACGATCCCAGTGTTTGAGCGGACGAAGATAGTTCAGGCACTGAGACATTCAGATTGCGTACAAGTGTTCTGCGTGTGCTACAGCTGCATAGCGGAGAATGAGATGGGTACCAAACAGTACGGAAAAGTAGCATATGCCATCTGCTTTAATGTTCCGCAACTCAACACTGCCCACAGAGTGCCTTCACGGGTTTCTTCTGATTCTCTGAACAAACAGCATAAGTTTCGCTAAATAACACTGGTAGAACGATCTTTGTAACCGACTTGGGAAAATAACTCTTTAGGCATTAAGAACTAAAAATTAAGGGCGTTACTCCATGCTTCTGTAAGTTCACATCTGGTCGTCGTTCACGGATTAGAGGTAATTGGTATATTCCAACTCAGAATCAATTTAATGGTAATCTTTTATAATTGAATCATTGCATCGTAAGACAACACGAAGGAAAAAGGGAGTGAATATCCATATTTAGATTGAGGTTTAAACTCAAGGTCCAGACTTGTGACACATCCCCTGACCGTGAACTCAGAACTCCGAACTCCGTGGATTTAGTCCGAAAGCGAAATATACCGACCGCCGCTTGTCGGCAAAGTTAGTGCCAACTTTAGCGAATAGAGGGTGTCGCGTGGTCAGCGCACCGAATCGCCACGGCCGTTAATCTCGGTTTTCTAGACCGGAACCGCTACTTCTCCATTCAAATAGCTCCTTCATATCCTCACGAGGCTGAGTGAACTACAATCCAGACAGTCCCCTGACCGTAAGCATTTTAAACACCAGCGAGTAAGGAGGGAATCCAACTTTATCAAATACTTAAAACAGTAAGGAAACATAGCTCAGAATCAAACAGCTTTTTAAACGTTCTCATTGTATCAAATTAGCAAAGTGGAATAAAATACAACATAGTTCTGGACTGAAGAATGCGTCTTCTGGGATGTGGCGCCATGTAGAACCTGCAGCCATCTGCTCAAGTTGGTTCCCTGCTCGCGGATTTTTCTACCATGAAGATCGAGGCGATACGTTTCTCGGAAACGTCGGCTCACACAAGATCCACACGGCGCCACAACCCAGAAGACGGCATTCTTCATAGTCACCGCCGTGAAAACCTCAAATCTGACACAGTCCTGGATCATTTCGTCATAAAATAAAACCGAAAATTCGACGATTATAATCTGCCAATCATAAGGTTAGCTTGGTGGTTCTCTGACATAAAAATGCAAACGAATGGTTAAAGCCGCGCCATAACTCAAGCGGTTAGTCGCTAGCTTCCCACCGCGGCGGCCCGGGGTCGATCCCGGGTCTGTTCAAGTGGGATTTGTGGTGGACAAAGTGGTGCTGGGGCAGGTTTTCTCCGAGTACTTCGGTTTCCGCTGCCAATCTTCATTCCACGAATTGCTCCACAATCACCCTCACCTATCATCTGGGGCTGGTACAGTAGGCCAGAAGTGGCCGCAGCACAAAGGACTTAGTCCCACCCCACTAGCATTAAAAAACGGGGATAAGCAGGGGTTTAAAAGCAGCATACAAAGGAATAACAGAGGAACAATACAGAGATCAATACCAACCTAACTCCTTAAACGATTTTGGAATTTTGCATATTTGTGCGAACTGAGGTTCTCACGGCTTTTAATATTAATATTACATTTTTTGGAACCTGCTGCCTCCATCTTCAGGGCAGAGGACTTCTCTATATTCTTATGAAACGTTGACACTTATCTAAACGGCGTCGCATCCCAGAGGATCGTAATTTCGTACAGTTTTGTTTGAAAAGTATGCTGCCTGTATAAAATTTACTTAAAAAATTAAAAATATAAAATAAAAACACGGTGACGGATCGAAAATGTTTTAATTTGAGGATGTGAAATGGAAAATTGGCTGTTATTTTAATACGAAACTTTTTTAAAGGTGTCATGTTGTAAACGCAGCAATTATAAAATATTAGTGTCACCTACAAGATTGAACTACTGGGGACCCTAAAGTGCACCATCTATCTATAAGCAATTTCACCGATAATATTTCATATCACCATCTGTACGTGCGTCACATGCTTTGGGAACCTCCACTTCAACCCACTGAAATGATCTGGCGACTCCTGAACGTCTGTCCATTCAGCCTACTTCAGCTTTTTTGACGGCTTTGCGAAGTGACATGATGTAATTACACAATAGGAACATGATCGTCTATTCTCAAAGTGTTTCCGAAACTTCATATTCGTCCTACATGACATTCAAATACATTTTACAGCATCTTCTCATGTTTACATATGCACGAATATTAAGTGTCCAGCATATCAGGATCTTCTAAGGCCTTAAAAGATGACCTTGGTTTTGAATGACTATTATTANTGATGCTTCCACCCTCAGAAGATGGTATTCTTCATGGTCATTGCCGTGAGAACTTCAAATCTCATATTATTGTTATTATTATTATTATTATTATTATTATTAGGCTTTCATATTTTATATTTTGCTCTTTATTTATTGTTGTGTATTTCTGTGTACCCGTGCAAACTTTGTAATTGGCCTCTGCGCTGTTAAGTTTGCACGTAAATAAACACGAATTGAATTGAACTGAATTATCCTAAGGTCATGCAAGGTAACCTAGATTCCTCATGACTGATTATTATTATTATTATTATTATAATACTTCGCTGTTCACGGTGCACAGTTATTCTACGTCGACTGAAACGGGAAGGCTATCATCAATAGTAAGGTGTCGTGGCCTATTCAAGGGTACTCTCCAGGCATGGAGAGACGGCGTTAAGAACAAGACAAATCTAGAGCAATGAAGCCGGCAATCGCTAGGATTCAAGCCCGAAACCTCATGAATAAAAGTCTACAGCGTTCCCGGTACATTAATGACTTAGCTGGATGAGGAGATTAAACGTTTTGACGGACACTGTCTCCCCATTATGCGCTCACTTTAAGAGTTCAGGCCCACTGATTACCACATACCAGCAACTGTTTATTGGGTGCGGACGAATATGTGACGCACACCTCTCTCATCCAATTAGCATTACGGCTGATGAACTACAAATTTATGTTTCAATCTGACTTGACGGATACCCGTGTTGTTCTATTAGAAAGGATGCAAATGTCAATCAACGAAGTAATTTATTTCTCTTTGTGAATGCTGTTCAACCACCTGCACGGATGAACCAGAAGGGAATACTGGCCATACAAAAGCAGATCATGTATTCAAATGTCTGTATTTCGTCTTCCAGGCCTTGCACTTGCGCATCGCTTTCGTGCAGTAACATGTAGTGGCAATAAACGCTTCTGAGAATTTCGGGGCGAAAGAAATGAGACCAACATCTTCCGTTTATTAATCGAGGCACGTAAAGTTGAGGTGCTGTATTTGATTTGCTTTCGACATACTAAGAACTAAAGAATTCTAGCTCAAGCAATTATTTCAACATGTCGGTACAATGCGATACATTGCATGCATTCTCTTCTCCTAGCATGATATAATGGTTTCACTCTTAAAATAAAATTGAAATTATTGATACCAAAAGAAACAAGGCAATAAAGCATACTTAATCATACACGAAAAATATATGCTTACCAAAGTAACATATTTCTGGAACTTTCATTAAACAGGGCGTAAATGTTCAAGAGGTGTGATATACGTGACACATTACTAATCAGCAAAATTCGCAATGATACACAGACTGTGGTCTAAGGGGTGCTGATGATGGCTGACCAAGCCGAAATAAGTTTGCGAGTTAAGTTACAAGCCGTGGCGAGATCAAGTATACATGGATAAGTGCAAGAAATGAATGAACCACGAGAATGCATCCGACTGACAAAAAAATTTAGTCACTTCAATTATTTTGTTCAGTAATAAATAGAATGCCGGTCACGGTAGCCGAGCGGTCTAAGGCATGTACTATCTTCGCTCGCTTGGAAACCGGGATCGTGGGTTCGAATCCCACTCAGGGCATGGATGTTTAGTTTGTGTGTGTGCGTTTTTCTGTGCTTGTGTACAGGTAGAGGCCTTGCGACGAGCTGATCACCCGCCCAAGGAGTCCTACCGAATGTCTTAAGATCTATTAAACCAAAGTGAAACGGAGAGTTTCATGGAGGTAGGCCTAGGCCCACTGGGGCTGTAGTGCCAAGGAAAAAAATAAAAATAAATAGAAAAGTATTTTGAATTGTACTCACGTTTTTGTCGCAAACTCGAAGCATGAAATATCTGCCCTTGAAGTATATTTTGGTAATTCTGGGCCTGTAAAATAATTTAAAGTCTATTAGCCTACTTATACCGAAACTTAGTTCAGTTTATTATGAATTGTAACGTTTGGTATTAAGTTCTTTGAATACACATTTCTTAAATAAAATTTGAATTCACAGTTCACACTCTAATTTATATTTCCCACCAGTGAAAAGCCATGTGTATGTTTGCAGAAGGCAAGGAGAGCGGATTCCTTGCACCAACACTTAAATAACAAATAGACTGGCATTAGAAGACTAGGCCTAAGATAGCCCTGCCTTTTTATTCCTGCAGAGAGTAACATGGTCTTGCTTTATTAGTACAGTTACAATCTCTAAATCTGTGAATGGAGAATATTACACGTACATTCTACATAACAGGCATATAAAAACTAAACTGAACTCCGTGGCTTTTAGTACGCAAGCGAACTGTACCGACCGAGCGACCGCCGCTTGTCGGCGAAGTTAGTGCCAACTTTAGCGGATAGAGGGCGTCACGTGGTCAGCGCAACGGATTCCCACGGTCCTTAACATCGGTTTTCTAGACCGGAGCCGCTACTTTTCCATTCAAGTAGCTCCTCAATTATCCTCACGAGGCTGAATTGACCCCGTTCCAGACCCACTACTTCGCAGAAATACTGGTAATGCGGGAATCGAACCTAGTACCTCTCGATCTGTAACCAGGAACTCTGACCACTGGACAACAGAGGCGACCTATACCTTAAAAAAAGTTTATGTAAAGTACTTTATACGGCTCAGCATTAAATAAGGTTCTAAACCTGGATATTCTTGACATCATTGGCACCTACAATTTACTCAAACTATATATATGAGTTGTATGTTATAGGCAACGCAGGGGAACCAGGCGCTGTGTAAAACAGCTAGACACACAAAAAAATTCCGCACGGCATATAAAGATTCAGTTAACTATTACATAATTTTCATTTCATGCATCCTGCTGTGTTACAGTATATACAACTTATTTATTTGACCGTTACAACACAACAATAAAAGAACTTCTAGGACAATGCCCAGACTAAAAACAATATAAAACATCTGCTGAAAATTAATGATAACAAAAATGATATATATAATCATAGTGGAGTGCATAAACTACGTGTACAATGTTCTGACTGTCCTTTAAAATATATAGGACAAACGGGACGAACTTTTAATGTCAGATTTAAGGAACACATACGTGATATAAAGAAAAACGGACAAAGTTCCAAATTTGCCCAACACATATTAGACACCATGCACGAGTACAATACGATAGACAATACATTAGAAGTTTTATATATCGGCAA